AGCATATTATTACATGCACTTGGTATGGAAGTGGTGTGGAAAGGGTAATGTAACTGTGCCTTGGCAAGCTCTGAGCATGGATGGGACACATGGCCTTATGCTGATCTCTCATAACCTACCTGGTGGATTACAATCGGCACCTGAGTAGCTTTTGATGGGTCCTCAGAATGACAGTGCATGCAAATATGTAATTTCTACTTTTAATGAGGCCCTAACCTCACATCTGGCTTCAAAATAAACAGAGTTACTCAAAATAAGAGCGGATAAATGCAGCAAAGAAAGCAATTGCAGCTTCAGAAAAACAAAGGTTTACCTCAAATTCAGGACAGCACTATCTTTTGGGTAACCATTTATTTCTTATTTGAATATTGCCACTTGACTACATGCCATTAACTTAACCTAATTGTTGTTAATAAGAATTGCTAAGTGTCTAAAAGAGACTGGGAATAAATCCGAAAGAAAAGGACATCTATTAGGGTATGAAATTTTTGACAAACAGAAGTTTTCAAGGGGCTTTTCATAAACTGTACTGTACATAAACCAGTACTGTAGTGCTAGTGATTTCCCATTCCCCATGGCCAGATTCAGCACAAAGAGCAAACACCACTCAGGAAATAAAATCTACTATCCAAACTGCCATTAGGGCAGCCAATAGCCAAAGTGCCATTAGGGCAGCCAACACACAGTTGGTGCACGGAGGTAAGATACAGCCTCAGAATCTCACCCTGCCTCTGGAATCAAGAATAAGAAACCTTGGCCTTATGAGCCCTCGATAAAGATTACAAATTTTGCACATGGGGACTCTTGTCACTTGTAGAGAAAACAGAGTCCGAAACCAGCCCAGGGAGCTGATGACACTGACAAAATACTGACCAAATCTCCCAAAAAGATCTGTATTTATATATTAGTGTAATAATAGAATACCAAACAGGAAAAAAAACCAAACAAACAAAAACCACCACCAACAACAACAAAAAAACCAAACATGCTCAGTAACCCTATATTTGTAAATCTGCTAAAAGAAACTGTCTTGTGCTTAATTTTTAGAGCCAGAAAGTGGGTGAAATTTCATGGGTTTGGAAGTATGCACAACATGGAAATAAAATTTTTATATCTTACCTCTCAGGTTTACCATGGAAGAATACAAAAAAACTAAAAACACCCCAGAAGAACTCAGTCATTTTCCAGCTGCTAAACGAACGGCAGGGAAACCAGGGAAGGTGAATTACCAGTTTTGCAAGTGCAAAGCAGGTGAGTGACAGGCCCTTTACCTCACTGAGAAGCACAACATGAACCACCACATGCTACAGGGTTTTACTATTTGAAATGCTCTAAAATCTGCCACAGACTTGCATCTATGCCCTATGGCATCCCATAGGGCCAGTTTTATGTTTCATTTACCAGCTTAGCTGGAACGGTACAAATGTGTATCCAGGCAGCTCCCTGCTGACTGCCTAGCTGAAAAATGTCAGGAGGAAAAAAATCACTCACTTCCACAGCTATTTATAAGGCAACCTGCTTAAATTGGCTTCGGAGCTGAACAGGTATGGAATATTTCAAATGTTACAAATCACAAAAGTCTTGCTTCAGAATGCCTGCTTCTGGTTTGATTTTTTCTGAAGAGCTATTATCATAAACGCAAAGATAATGCAGAGGAGGAAATAAGCAACCTCCATCAAAACTCCCCCTCCCTGGGTAATAATCATCCCTGAAGCACATAGCTCAAAGCAATTTGAAGATAATTAAAATGTCGATGTGCAGAGACTGTTGCTTTATTGTGCTGACCAACACTAATCAATTATTTCTTTGTGATTCCAACTGTCTGTACCCATATGCCACCTATGGTCTTTATACTTCGGTATTATGTACTTTGGACTCTTCTGTGTGTGTGAAACGACTATCACAATTCCCTCTTGTATATGATTTGGGATCCCTAATAGTAACTGAAAAGAGTAATGGAAAAGATAATTGAAAATATAAGCAAAAAGAAGCTTAATACACTTCCTAGATTAATGAAGAGCACACCAATAGGCAAAACATCCTAATAAGACAAAGCACACATCCTGCTAAAGCAGAAAGAGAAAAGTGGCTATACATACCAGAATTCAGGAAAAAGAAAGTCAAAATTAATTTAGCACTTCTCTTCCTGAAATCACACTGCTAAACCTTTCAAAGCTGTAATACCTCAAACCCCAGCATCCAGCAGACAGGTTTGCATGGCCTATTTACTCTGCTCAATAAGAGAAGGCAAAGCGGCACACAGTCACCCTGACAACAGCCAGAGCCTGCACAGCAGATAGCTGCTGCATTTTCTTGCAGGAATAAACACACTGCAAACTTTGACACTCTTTCCCAAAGTCCTTGCTGTACAAACTCACAAATGTTAGATGAATGCTGCCAGTAAAAAGCATTCTTGTGTTACCCAAAGCCGGGACACAAGGGCAAAGAAGAAAAAGAAGTGAGATGCTGCATAAGACCCAATGTCCAACCCACCCACCAGGCAGAGCTTTGAACTGCTGTAGTAGTACATCGCCCACAATAACTGCTGCCATATGCTTAGGGGAAAAAAAGTCCTAAAAATAACCCATGTACAGAATGATCCTTCCATTGTCATATAGCAGCCAATAAGATTTTATTTCTGACCCGGGAGGGTCTAGGGTTCCTGTATACTTTTGCATTGGTGCAAAGTCCTTCAGTTTGTTCAGCTGCTGTCATCACAACCAGTGATACAGACAGATGTAGTTAATTCACCTGCTAAATCTTTCTTATGCTTTTCTTGGCATGTCTGTGGAAAACCGCTGTAGAGTGGAGTTCATCCAGAAATTTAGAAGATTATTCATTTATTAAATGCTGAAACTGACGTACCACCAAATAAGACCCCTGTAAAACCAAATTAGCCTGTAATCCTTCTGGTTTAGATAAACTCCACTTCATTAGAACAGGAGTTTTAGATGAAGCAGCTGTAGGTAATAGAGATTCTTTGTTTTTTAATTTACAACAGCTTACTTTGTATTATGTTAGGGCCTAAGAGCATCATCGATTAGACTGCTTTCTGTACTATGAATGATACCACTTGCTCAATCTTTTCCCCAAAGAAATTAAAATGGCCAAATCACCTTTTCTTTCTAATATCTCATCCCCATTAATCTTTCCTTCAAATGCATTATGCACCCCCTGCCAGCCTCCAACATGAAAGCACTTCTATTTTACTGAAATTCTTTTATGTAGTTGTTTTTGTTACTCTTGCACTGTCTGACCAAACTGACCACACAAACCCCACAAGTTAAATACTGCTACTTTTTTTCATTTTTTCTTGGAAGCAGAAAAGAGAAAGGAGACTGTCCCGTCTCCTGAACTTTTGTGTCTTTGCTAGAATGATCCCTTCTTGTCCTGACAAATTACTGGTGTTGAAAGACAACTGTAATCCCCACACATTCTGGACAGCCGTGGCCAGCAAGACACTGAGGTGACTACAGTTAACGTGACAAGCTGTAGCTGCCACACAACCAAAAATTAATCTTACAAACAGCTTATTTAATAAAAACAAAGTCTTACAAATGTAATTTATTACCTTTATTTGTAAAATGTGCAGAGGTCATGCAAAGTTGGTAAGGGATCAAACCCAAATTTTAAATGAGAAATACTTTACCTACACCTTGTCATCTTAACTTACTTGCCAAATAAGCACTTCTACTAGGGAAATAATTACGAGTCACCACCCAAAAAGTGGAGGAAGCTGACAGCATATTCCCCAAGTCATAACCCAAAATTGTGAGCTGAGGGAGTGGTGGGGCACACATCTGGTGTAACCAGTCAAATCCAACATGTTTTAACTATCACAGAAAATTTTGCCTGAATTTTGCCTCCCAATCATTTCAAAAATTGTCTGACAGCAGAAATCCAGAAATCTATTTAAACAACAGAATTTAGGGAAAGCCACACTAAATTCTCTCTTTCTCACACACACTGAACAGATGGAGGAAAGACAGCAAGCTCCCTGCTAGTCACATCAGCTCAGGAGCCAGACATTACGAACACTGTCTGATCCAGCTCTTGTTGAAATCAATAAAAGCCCTCCGCTGAAGACTATGGGAGATGGAAAATAACCCTCTCCACGCTTCAGTCAGAATGTGTGAATGAGAAAAAACTGACAGCTTTCTTCCCCTCTGATTTTCATGGTGCTTAAAGATCCAGATTATAAAACACAGTTTGTCATCTGTGAATTTTTGATCTGCTTGCTTGGCATAAATGAAGCTCATGTCTATGTGTGAATCAGGGAGACAGGCATCACCTTGCACTTTGACAAGAGAGAGATACTGGTAGCTGTGCATGAATAAGCATTATTGCATTTCAAAGTGCTGTGGATACAGTATAACTAAAAATGGTTGGAGTGGGTAGCTAGAGGACTGAAAAAGTGCTCCTTGTTCCTTAAAAAATTGCCATTTTGCACTGGTGAAAAAGAAAGAAAAAAATAATCCAGACACCAGGATTCATCTTTTAGCAGTTGAATAACCTGAAATTCAACTGGCTGTCATAAATATCTAGGAGACTGTGACACTAGAGCATCTATCATCTTTGAAACCAAATAAATGCTTCACAGAATTTACTCTCACGTGCTTCGTTGGCATCAGGTTACAAAAAGCATTCAATTATTCCTGCATTTCCCAGCTCTAATGACATTCATCACTGCAAACTCATTTGGCTGGAGGACGCAGTTGCACTAGCCGCACCATGTCTACAGATTTTGTTCTCGTTTTGCCTAGCATTCTTGTGAGCTCCAATATTTATGACTTTACACATCACTTGTATTTTGGTCATAAACATCCAATCTATAATTTTCTATGCTGCTTCTAGACACAGATCCAAGAAGAGGAGGAATGGGGACTTTACTGTGTCAGAGTGAACTCCATCATAACACTAAGTTGATGTTCATAAATACTAGCAACCAGAAAAAAGAAAATATGAGAATTCATTTCAAAAATATTCTCAGTTATACTCACTGCTGGTTGAGGACATACGGCTGTACTCAGACCTGCAAGACAAAGATTTTCGTTAGACCATATTAAAACTGAAAGTGATAATGAAAAATATACCAAATCTAACTCAAATTGCATATTAAGATAGTTTAATTCCCATTAACATTTTTGTGCTAAGATAATAACAGGTCTTGAACATGGCCTCAGAAAAACTGACATCTTGCATGACTTTTGAAAACACCTACTGTTCTTTGGTCACAACTGGCAGGGAAGACACAAAATGAGTACCAAAATATAAACATTTAGGTGACAAAGTTTTTTGCTTTAGGAAACTCTTTTCCTCTTCAAGACACCTCTCAGTAAAACCATACACCATTGGTTCTACTTCAATGCATACTGGATTATCCGTGAGAAAGTCAGAACAGTTAAGTATTTTGAGCAACAGTGCAATTAATTTTGTAGCTGCATATAACCCCAAACTCCTGAAAACCCTATTCTAGGACATTTATGTCCCATATTATGTCCCAACATTATGGCCCATTTAGGTCCTAAAGATTCAGAAATACTAAGATAAAACAAATATGCCATCACTGGATATTAAAAAACAAAAAAAAAAAAAAAAAAAAAAAAAAAAAAAAAAAAATTAATTTCCACTTCTGAGGCCCTACCTATGACTTTTGAGTGTTTGGTTTTGGAGTTCACAGTCACACAGCCTCCACTCCCTCACTCACTGGGTCCCCAAAACAGACCCCACTCACCAAGCTCTCTGCCACAATGAATGTCTTGCATGTATGCCCTGCAGTGCCCTGAACATAACAGGCTAACTGTTCAGGGAGCTGTAACACAGTTCTTGGATCCAAACCTAAATGCTTGTTTTATATAAATAATTGAAACAAGTCTGCAATACTGCTTTAAATTAAAAAAAAATCCACGGGAGCCTTGACTCCTAAGATATTTGTCTGGAAATGGATGCCATCTAAGTATATTCTCAGGGCACCTTCATACTCTAGGCTCTCAGGCATCCGAGGCAATAAAGGACATCAACCCTACATAACTACAGTGAATGCTTTCAATTTTAATATGGACACATCTCTGCAGAAGAAACAAAGTCATCCCCCCCTATTTCATAGTGCCGTGCTTAGCACTCAGTATTCTGCAGATCAGATGCTAACACTGCTGGTTTAGGTGAGAAAGACCATGAAGAACTACCCTCAACTCTTCTTGCCAATCCTGCTGGATGAGTAAAAGATGACACTTTCTACATTTTTCACAATACACATGAAAAAAAAACGCAATACCATCAATTACCATGAGGTTATCATAGATTTTTGAAAAAGGTCTGTGCAATGCTGGGGAGAGACTTGCTGATCGGGCTTGCAGCTGTCTTCCTCTTTCTCTCCTCTACTAAATCCTGCACCCCCAGCCGTTGTCACACATGGCAGAGATCACAGGATTAGGTCATTAGTAGCCCCTCTCAGTCGCCCCACATATACCTGCTACATAGCACGTCCTACATGAATAAAACGTTATCCCTCAGCCTGCCTCCCCGGACCCTTGTGTAGCTGGGAAAGGCAGAGGCAGCAAGGCATGAGCAGGGGTGGCCGTGTAAACACCACCGGTTCAGCTCTGGGCAGGGCCCAAGGGGAAGGGATCCCAGGGACTGGCTAAGAAGTGCTGTGTGGGCCATAAAGCTGCATGGTATTTTTGGTAGCAAGTCATGTCGGTATCATTTGGCACCATGTATATTCGGAAGGGTGCGAAAACTGTGTAACACGGTACTCTTCACAAGCCCTGAGGCAAGCAATATACATCCAGCTGCCTTCAAGCATCCCAAGCAAGGATTGATTTAGTCTGGATTCTGTTTGAAAACAGCCCGGGGCTGTCCCTCAGTGTATCTGTGTTCAGCAGTTGGCAGCTAATTCAATATGAATCTGCACTGCTTGTATTTCAGATAGAAGAGAGAAAACATTTTGCCTTTTGCTTACTGCAAGTAGAAGCATCTTTCTATTACTTCACACTGTTATTTTATTATCCCAAAGTGCTGCAGGCACATTATAGGACATGGAGAATTAATGAGTCCTGAACTGAGGAAATGGCAGTCTACGTACAGGCAGGACATGAAAAATGAGACAGGAGGAAAAATAAAAAGATGGAGAGTGAGAAAGGAGGAGACAACAGTGTGCTTGGAGACTAATTGCACAGGCACATTTTAATAGGCTTAGAATTGTATTGGGGTTTTTTTGTAATTCTAATATGGTTCAAGTTAATATTTAATTCATGTTTGTTGCATAACTGACACACAAAGAATTAAAAAAAAAAAGGATAATTAAGCTCAAAGGCTTATGTCAACCTCAGATGCTGAAATGAGGCCTGTACCCCCACTAAGCTCCCTCTATAGTCAATAAAAAGTCTGAAGTGGGTTTCCCTAACTGTTGTCTAGAGATGAAGCCTACAGAAACCACAGTCCTAATGTAGGACACTCAGCTACATGCCTAAAAGCAAATGGGATGAATATGAGTCTCTCTATGTGCTCTCAGGGCTAGCCTGAATCGCCTTATGTCCTCCCTCTGACTCCTTCCTCTCTTAGAATTTCTTTGTCTTGAATCCTTAAGAACAAAAATAACAGTGTTAGTAAAAGCCTTAATAATTTCAAAACATTAGCACAAACTACTTAGATTCATGACAAGCGCTAGTAAGTGGCTTACAAAGTAATTTTTTTTTTTCCTTAAAGTCAGCTATTTAGGATACTAAATTCTGTAGTTTCATTAAGTCTTTTAAGCTTTTTAGACTAGTATACACAATGAACATTCCCTTTGACAAGATCATGCATTAGAAAAATTAAGCACTGAAATAAACAACTCCTGGGTCATGTAGACTCTCCGGGCATGAAGCAACTTTGTTCCTTCCCATTCTTTCCATACCTGTTTTAAACACCTTGAATATCAGCTTCCACCAGTTCCCTTGGAAGAAAATTTTCCCATTAGGATAACTCAAGAGTAAAGCACTCATGGGCTTTAATGGTGACTGACTGGGGCCATACTGGGCTCAGAGGTTCCAGGCCAATTACATGGTCTTGCAGCAAGCTATTTCCTCTGATAGGTACTACATTATAGATAAAAGGAAAGAGACATTCAGGACAGAAAGTGAACAAATGGAGGACTGTTCCCTTTATAGGCACATAATGAGGAAAAAAATGATCAAAAAGGGTACTGAAGCAGTGGGAGGTACTGAAAAGGAAGGCTCATCGCTCAGTCAAAAGACACATCAGTCTGCAAAGAATTTGTGCTCAACGGTCAGCCCACCAGCAAAGAGGAGCTGTGAAGATGTCAAGAGACATTAAAATAGGAATGTAGAAGCTTGAAATAAATGTTGGACCTCGATTCCCATTAGCACCACTGAAGGATCAGGACTGTGCATTATCACAGCGCAAGACCATCAGGAGCACAAAAGATCCGGAGCAATCAATCCTCTGAGATCAGCATGCGCTACTCATTGATTAGTAATACGGAGCCTCAAAATACCCCAAAAAGGGAAATAGCCCACTGAATACCAGTAAGCAGCTGCTAGCGCAACTTGTAGTTACTGAGTACAGTATATAAAACCGCTCTAAACCTGTTTCTTTGGGTAAGAAGCACAGCTATGTTACATTTCTGAATTATACAAGGAATGTAGCTACACCAGCGTTGCACTGTGCTTGGGTTACTTTGGCATGCTGATCAGCTGTGGCACAGCATCACATTAACACAGCTACAGCACTGACATCTACAGTAATAAACAAATACACTCATGAGAACTGTCTGGGACCAAGGCCAACTGCCATGAAACAGTCTGCACCTGTACCATTAAAACCTCTTGCCTTCCAAAACAGACTGCCAAGTGGTCTGCTGGGAACAGGCCCTGGGCCACAGTAACGTGGTAGAACAAGTCCCTGGCCCACCGTAAAACACACCCAAGAATCACATGGGAGAGAGCTAGATGGCCCTGTCCAAACTGATGCCATCAACCTTCGTAAGTATTCAATAGTATGGACAACTCTGCCCCAGTGCTAAGGGACATCCCCACATGCTGTTTAATGAACTGGTGTGGCTGTAACTAGGGTTTCTGAGCCAGCCATCTCCACAAGGCAGTCTACGGTATAAAATGAACACACATCTCAAGTTATTTTAACACAGTAGTACACCATGATATGCCCAAGGTCTCCATTGCCAGGACTAATCCCCCCCGCAAATGAAATAGTGGAAAGTTTACTAGCTCGTCTGCTGTCTGCATCCTTTCTTGCCTAGCACTGATGGAATGGTATCTGCTGGATTCACATTTCCCCTGCCTTCTCTACCCAGAGTTGTTTCAGATTTCACTGTTTCTTATTAAGAGCTGTATTTAACAGCTTCTTTGCCTTCCCACCCCAAGAAATCACTCCATGGGCCACATGGAAGGATTTTATAGCAGTTAAAGCACAATGTGTGTGTGTCAGAAGATTTAGGTTTGTAGCTCTGTCTTGGGTTTCTTCTCACCAAATTCCTGTGGGTCAGATTACAATCTGCTTCACTAGTATCAATTCAATGCAAATCTGTTACCTTCATAGTACTTCTACTTGTGTTATCAAGATGACTGCAGTGGAGTAACTCAGAGCCACCTGTCTTTAGTACAGTGATGAAGTCAGATGATGGATTCCCATCCTTCAGCTCTAACTACGACACTCAAGAGCTTATTACTAACAGTAGTGTTTGAGGCCCCACATGAGACGTCATCATCACCTTTGTATAAGGATGAAAGGTTGTTTGTAAACTCCCAAAAAGCACCTGATGTGGCAGGACCACACTGTGCTTTAAGGAGCACATGTGCCTGCGCACCCTGCTCATCACACATTCACAGAGCACACTCCCCAGAGGGACACATCAGAACTCAGGTAGCATGTACCTACTCATCCAAAGTCAGGGGGAAAGTCACCCTCCCAAGGTCCTGGTGCGTTTAACTAACAACAGAAGAAGCCTAGTTTAAGCCAAACATCTAACCTTCACACAGCTACAGTTAGCTGAGGTGAACCTCGTTGCCTGCTGGGATCTAGCTATCACGGGTATCAGCACAGACCTCCTGGCCACCAGAATGTGATTTAAAGTCTGTTTCAACCACACTTTCAGTGCCTAGCCCCAGAGACATGCACTAGCAGGTCTGCCTACCCTGAGGTTCAACCAAGCAGCTTCACTCCACCGAGTAAATCTGGTTAGAAATGGTGCCTCAACCCAAATTCCTGACAAACAGCTCAACTTTATATTAAGCAAATGTCAAATCAGAGACAAGTTTTCTACCTTGACACATCTGGAATGATGGCTATACAGGAAGTGAAAGTCTCAGGAAAAAAAAAAAAAAAGAAACCCCAAGGTAAAAATAGGCCTTAAAATAGCTTTCAGCAGCAGTGATTTGTATTCCTGAGAGCTTATTATAGATGGATGAAATATGTGACAAGAGACTGACATGTCATATTGAAGGACTATCATACAGATGACAAAGTCATAAGTGTTGAATCCCTTTAAGCTAGAAACATGTGTCATGAAAGCAACCTCTCACCCCAATAAACTATTCAACTATTCATTTGATAATTTAAGCAATCCATTCTGACTGAGGACACGCATGAATTACAATACTCTTAATACTTTTTCCTTTAAGTGGGATACACCCTCTTTTTTATAGGCTGCCTCGTCTCCTATTAACAATTGTATTTTCTGCTTTGGAGTCTCACATATTTTACAGAACTGCAACACGTAAGGAATATTTTATCTCTCTAACAGATAAGTTAACAGAGGCTCAAATAATTTGTCATTTCACCAGGATCACACATGCAGCTAGTGAGAGCCACAAGGATAATCACCAAGTAAGGATAGCAGAGTAAAAAACTTAATCTCTGCAAAAGTAACTGAAGGGATAGAACCACAGGAGAAAATGAAAGGAGGGAACAACCCCCCTGAATAATAACTGCAACCAAACAGTAATAGCTATTGCTAAATATATGTTAAAAATAGCTGCTGTGTGCGACAGTGTCCTAAGCTTCAAACATCTTTTATCTGTTTTGATAATAATTTCTCTACATATTGTTGAAATGTTCCTTTGCAGTTGACTGTTACCAAAGAAATAGTATAATTTTCCTTCTTCCTAAAATACGTCAAATACTTAACAATTGTCTACTAATTAATTCAGCTGTCATCATCAATATTTAGGTTGCAAACTTACACATTGAAGTACAGGGGGTTTTTTACTAATATCTCCCCACTTTCTCTAAAAAGATTAATAAATTATTTGAAATATGTGGAAAAGTTGCAAATTCAAATAATTTCAGTTAAAAGTTATAACTTCTCAAAACTTTAAATGACTTCTAAGTGAGGAAGAAGAAAACTAAGGGTTTAGACAAACCTTGATACTATAAATAAGCTAATGATTAAAGTGTGAACCCTTTAAGACATGGGCTTTTACGGATGTTTAAAGGAACAAGTGAAGTTCTGCTTCGAATTATCACATATATTGAAATCTTCATTAATGTCAGCTATCTCACTGAAGTGTTATGCTCAGTTAGGGCATATACATTTGATAAATAGGTGAGAGCATTCCTATAGATGTAAAGCTTGAACACAGCTAACATGACCAAATAAAAGTTTAGGAATAAAAAATGTAAGACTTTAGGTCCAAGACACTACTTGTTTTCTACAGTCACTATGCGTCACTTGGGATATCAGTCATGAATACAAAAAATTCAGCTGATACTTTGCCCTTGACATCAGTGGTAGCAAGAATCTGTCTCACTGCTTCAAAGTTACATGCCTAACAACTTCTAAAATTGTCTTAGTTTGTAATTTTGGGTATTTTATCCCCCAAAACTCTGCTATTTAGAGTAATGATAGTGAAATAACAGCATTTGCATGGCTTGTAAAACCAAGAAAATTTGAAAGTGAACATTTCTACAACTCACTTTAAGTAGCTTAGTATTAATATTTCTAGCTTTTTCATGGTTTGTTTTTCTTTACAATTTATTTACAGTTCTTTAAACACACATATTTCTTCTCTCTTCCATTTCCTTCTTTCACTTGTTTTGCCCTCTGTTTGCTTTCTAATCAAAGACCAAAGAAAGACCATTTTCTTTTTCCTAAAATGTTAGGTTTTATAGGACAAAACCACTACTAATATTATTACCAGATAAAGGTCTCTGTTTCCCATACTTCTGGGCTAAAACGTATCAGTAGTAGATGAAATAAGGTTTTTATACAAAAAAAGCCCCAAAATACATTTCCCAAGAAGATAGAATTCGTATGGGCAAAGCCTCTCAGACCAAGGATGGCCAAACTCTTTCAAATTTTACTAATAAATAGCCAGTATAAACTAATTGGATTCTATGTTCTACTCCCTTTATTTAGGTACTTGACAACACCAGCTCAAGCCATTCTTACTGGATTCGGGAACTCAAAATACACGATTTTTGTTCGACAGCCTCTTTGCCAACTCTATTTATGAAGTAAATGCAGTTAAGAGGAACATATTTTCCAACAGATTAGGAAAATTAAGGCTTCAAACTGTAACTGACCTTGTGTGTAGCAGAGTTTTGCTTGCTCTTGTAGCTGGAAGCCACATCAAAACCTTAAGGAACATATGCCCCGTAGAGTGCTTGATGTATTTGGTTAGCTGCTATAAGCAGCTTCAGCAGTACAGGCTCTGTGTAAGAGCTCACACATCATTACATACGATCATCAAGATGACAAGGGCTTGCAGTGCTTGGATTTACTACACTCACTATCCACTACTGTTCCCCAAGTAACAGAAAGGGACCACTTGATGTAAAACTGTTACTGAATTACTCTGACAGTTGTCTCTCCTTATACTTCCAGAGGATGATGGCTGAACTTCAAAATAGGTTTTGTTTTTTTTTTTTTTAAACATTGAGTAATTGGACAGAAAGGAAAACATTTCAATTTAGCAGTAGCTGTGACGGGACTGAAACAAAGCAAAAAGTAGTTCTTCTGGTAAGATAGAAAAGCAAGTGCTGTGAACAGTTGGTTTGGTGAGAAAACTGAAATATAAACATTGTGAAAAAGACATACGAAACATGTTTCTCAGACTAAAATAGATGCTAAACAGAACTAGAAATAATAATTGAAATGCAGAGACCCATTGCTTTTCAAAATAAATTTCAGTGCAAAGCACTGCAGTTATTAATTACCATATGTCATTGTTTAAATTCTCAGACTCTTCCGCTAACCTACACTTTCCAGTGTCAAGCCTGGGACAGGGATGCTTCATAATATCATCAGATCTAGCACCTCATCAACGCCAGAAACAAGCAGCTGTCATGATGATCGCTGAGGTCTAAAGGCTAATGTCACCAGCTGGGTCAAATCCTTCCAAGTCCTCCTCCCAAGGGAACCCAGGTTTTTCTATTCCAGATAAACACAGCAAATTTAGAGTGATGTGACCTATCAAGGATTTTTTGAGCTTTGAACCTACCATGAATCTACCGGTTATTTTATTTTCCTTTTACATACGTTCCCCAAAGATGGACTAAAATCCTGTTGTTTCAATGTCTGGAAAGGCCGCTTGGATTTTTCTCCTTTAAGCTAACATAAAATATTTTAAAACTTCCACTGTTAGGTGTGCCTACAATACAAAGTGATGGGAAAAGTCCTCAACCCTCAGATGCCAGAAGAGATAAAAAGTTTGCTTTGAATTAATAGCTTGATGTATGAAAAAGATTATGACCTTCCATTTCCACCTTTAAAAAAAAATTGTAATATTGCTACTTCAATTTTGATGCCACGCACGTGACACCACTTTGCAAAGAAGAATTAGCTTTACACTTTTGCAACAGCCAGACTAGAGATCAAAGGAGATACACCAGACAAGGAGCTGGGAGAAAAACAATTGGGAAAGCAAGGAGGAGGAGAACGAAGATCTAGGGAGGAACAGTGTTAAACAAGAGTGGGCAACCTCCTTTTGTCCTTCTGGAGCCAGAGAAGGAGCTAAGGCTCACAGCTGTTCTCAACAAAATGACACAGCAGTAGCATGTAGGATGGGCTGGGGGGTACCTCCCTCTCTCTCCCACAGAGGTGGGCTGAGGGTGGGAGCAGAATGGGGGATCCTATGGATCATCCTTGCAGCACCATGATCTTAGGAGAAGTCATCCAACAAATACAGCATACGTCTAGCAGTGGGGTCATGAAGTCAGGAAAAAAAGTCATTCTTGTTGACTCTGATATGACACTTACAGGGTGGACAACTACCAAGCAAAGTTCTCAGCACTTTATAGTTCAGCGTGATGAGTATCACCACAACAGCAAACCAATTTCAGGGTGCCTACAAGTCTAACCTGCTTTTGTGGGTGGCTCTCTGATGGTCCTTCTGAGGAGTCAGCTCTGTCTCCCTGACGTGGTCCCGTCGTCACTGCCACAAGGGCAGCATGGGCGGCTGGGCACGCTTCCAGACTATCCTCAACACAAGGTTAACCCGGGATACAGGGATGGTGCGGCACCAAGCCCTGACCAGTGTGTCTACAGCCCGTAAAGCTTAGCGCTGGGCCCCTCCGCTGAGGCAGCACAACGTGCTCGGGAGCTTAAACTTAAAGGCCACGGCCACGACCTCCTAGTATCTTCCGCCCCGTGTGTAGAAGGAGGACGATGGGGAGTTTTCCCCTACTCAGTCGAGGGAGAGGGGCGAACTCCCCGGGGCTTTCCAAGCACGGCGATGCCCCGCGCCTCCCCGGGGATCTCGCAGGGCCCCGCCAGCCCCGGGGCGGGAGGAGGAAAGGGCACACGGCGCCGCGCGGGTGCTGCCCGGGGCGCGTCCCGCCACTCGGAGCGGGGCTCAGCCCAGGAC